TCCTGGCCAGGGGAAAGGAGTGTTGTATTCACAGAACTGATGGAAGTCCCCACTCTGGTCCGCCGTTCTGGCGGGAGCGCCGATCGCTCCCATTGGCTGATGCCATTTAACAGCCGGCTATAAAAGGAGCTGTCAAATGGCATCAGCTGTTGCAGCCAGCTGATCTGCCTGTTAGCCCCGGCAGCTGTGGCAACCCTTTATTCGCAGAATAAAGCCTTTACTGTTTAGCTCTGGTGTCTGCCTCGTATCTTCCGCCGCTCCACAACAGGTATCTTTTTATATTCGCTATGCAGGAAGGCAGATGGAAGTGCATGACACCTTGAAAGCGAAAATGCTTTCCGGTTGTTCACTATCTCCAACTGGCTAGGATAACTGGCATGAGTAATAACAAATCTAATAGATTCGGGAGCCAGAAACAATGGAGGTTTCCCTGCTTGCCTCTCGATGTCCTCTACCCTTTGTCACAAGTTTTGTTTTGCTTGGTCATAGTCCAAGTTGAGTATTGAGGCTGGAGAAAAGCCTAATTTGGTAAGGTTGGACTCAATAGTCTTGATCCATGAAGAGAATTTATCTCGGAGGACTAATGGAGCAAGGCCTTGTGGAAAAAAAAGTTTTAGCCAAAGATTTAAAGAAGCTGTATAGATTCTTACTTCAACTTTTATTAATCCTGTCTCCAGGCACAGAAGTAAAATGCATTATCTAGAAAAATATATTTGGATTGAACTATTTCCAAATGTGTGAAACACTAAGCTGAGGGTCCAGGCAAGATTCTGTAAACAAGCTATGCTAGCAACTTGGCTTGAAAGAGCTTAATTGTGGCAGGAATGTAGTATCCTCCCTTTGTGTGGAAAAAAATGAGAATAGTGTTTACTGATCTTTGGCCAGAGGCAGCCTCATATTTACTATGTACTTTCTTGAGCTGGTGGCATGGATGATTACACCTAGATACTTTAAGGTGGTTAACTTGCTCTATATTATGATTATTAAGAAATTATGAAGTTTTTTGACCTTTTTGCAAAGGCCATAACCTTAGTTTTCTGGTAATTATGTCCAGTTTACTGTAATTACAATACTAGACTAGGGCTTGCAACATTCTTTTAAAACTTACAGGTATCCTGGAGAGGACCATAGCATAATCTGAACAGAACTACAGGATGATGATTCGATCATCTATTTTTGGAAAGTGGTAATTTGGTTTATTTAGCTATTTAACCATGTCATTAATATAGAAGTTGAAAAGCAAGGGGCCAAGGGGTTTAACCTTTTGAATTTGGACCGACCTTGAGGGATCCTTGCATATTACACCTAACCTTTAGACATATTTTAATATGTAAGGCACATAACAAATGGTGACACCTATGATCAAATGAAGCAGCTTCCAGCTTCTTCCATAGCTTAGTTCTGATAACTGTATCAAAAGCTTCCTTGAGGTCTATAAAGGCAGGGTATAATAACATAGATCTATTTAATACATATTTTTTAATCAAATGATAAAGTATTAAGCACTGGTCTATAGTGCCTCTCCCCTCTCTAAATTAGCTTGTTCTTCAGCAATTAAGTTCTCAAGATCCAGCCACTCCTTTCATTTATCTTGGATGTGTTTGGCATAGAGTTTGCTGATTATATTTAGCAGACTTATTAGTCTGGAATTAGCAGGGTCTCTGTTTCTTGTTTTAAAAATTGGGACAATTGCCATGATTCTACTGGTCATGTCCCAGACAATCCTCTGGGACCTGACCAGTAGAGTCAATATAAGTGAATAGTGCTGCCAGGACTGGAATCCACCATTCCATATTATTCTTTTCCCCCCTATGTATTATTTACTTTATTTATATAACATATAAAAATTCCATTTCAATCAGTGTGTTGTCTGGGTGCAATTGTTTTTAGGCAATTGTAATCAAAATGTTTCCAATAACATTCATCAAAATAACATTAATACTATAATAACAATAATATTTAGCTTGTCCATTTTAACAGATTTCCATTTTAACATTTATCCTGTTTATGTCTCTACATTTCTAACTTCTGTTTTTATTGTCTAACCATTGATAAAATAAGTCCCATGTCAAAAAGTATTCAGTTTCTTCTTTGTCCTTAATAGTAAGCATTAGTCTATCCATTTCTGCACATTCTAGTATTTTCTTAATTACACTCTCATCTGTCAGGATCTTGTCACACTTTCATTGTTGAGCATAGACAATTCTAGCTGCAGTTAATACATGTAAAATCAAGTATATAGTCCGTCTGCAATATTTTTCCTGCAGAATACCCAATAAAAATATTTCTGGTATCATGTCTATATGCTGTTTTATCATTTTTACCAACCAAGTATGTATTTTCGTCCAATATTCTCTGGTTTTTGGACATGTCCACCAAATATGGCAATATGAACCAGGTATTTGATTAAATTTCCAACATTTAGCAGATCTATCCTTATACATTGTTGCCAGTCTTGTTGGAGCAAAGTGCCATCTATAGAACATTTTGTACAAATTTTCTTTATATGCAGTTGACATAATCAATTTCTGCCATTCTGCCATTCTATTGCATATCCAAAATTTTTAGTTTTGCAATGTTTTCAAATCTATTCTTGCTTTTTTCCCTAACCAGATATATCTTAATATTATTTTATTTACTTCTTCAAAGTATTTTCCCTCTAATTTTATTGGAATTGTTTGAAATAGTCTTGGAAAACTATTCATTTATATAGTAGCTATTCTTTCTGTTAATGACAATTGCAGATCTTTCCATTTCTCCAAATCTAGTTTAATTTGTCACATCAGTTTCATGTAATTGTCCTCTTTAATTATTGTACCTTTTGCTGTTGTTCCTAAATATTTCACTTTTTTACTATCTGTATATCAATTCTTTCCATCCATAATATTTTTTGTGTGAAATTTTTAACCAAAATCTTTTGTCTTCTCTTTATTTATTTTCAATTCTGCAACTTCCCCTTATTCTTCTACCTTTCTAATTAACCGGTCCAGTTTCTAATGGGTCTTCTAATATAAAGACCAGTCATCTGCAAACTCCTGTAGCTTGTAGTTCCCTCTTTTTTAATTTCCATTCCTTTTATTTCTTCATCTCATTGAATATTTCTGGCTAATACTTCCCGAGTCAGTATAAATAGCAGAGGGACAATGGACATCCCTGTTTAGTGCCTTTTTTAATATCAAAGTTCTCCATCATGTCCCCATTTGTGATTTATTGCTTTAACCATATTAATAAATCTCTCCCCAAAGTCCATATACTTTAATACTAATAACATAAATTGCCAATTAATATTATCAAATGCTTTCTGTGCATCTAGAAAAATCAATGACATTTGTTTTTCAGGGTATGTTATATGATAGTCCAATGTATTTAAAATTATTCTCATGTTATTTTTAATCTGTCTCTTTGACAAGAATCCATTCTGATCTAAATGTATAAATTCATTCAAATACCTTTTTAATCTCTCTGCTATTATAGAAGCATGTATTTTATAATCTGCATTCAATAGAGATATTGGTCTATACTTCTTTATCTGCTTTAAATCTGAATCAACTTTTGATATAAAAGTAATATTTGCTTCCATCCATGAATTTGGTATTTTTGCTTCTAGCAGAATTTCATTATAAACTTCCAACATCACTGGGCCTAAATATATCTTGTTAATTATTTATAAAATTATGCTGGTAGCCCACCAGGCCTGGTGTTTTATTATTCTTTTGTCTCTTAATTGCTTCTGTCAATTCCATCATGGTTATTTGTTCATTCAACATAGCTTTAACTGTTTTGGGTACTTTAGGAAGTTCAGATTGTTCCAAATATTGCATTTTACTTTCTGGAAGGCGAAGCTGATGTTGTGGTGATACAGTGAACTCTCCACAGGGGTCAATGGAAGTTTGCTGAATTCCTACTGCCAGAGGGTCCGGAGGAATCTAAGCCACCCTGGATGGGTAGTGAAGAAGAGAGGACACTCAGGTAGATCACAAGGAGATAGCAAACTGCTTGTTTGATGGCCATTGCGTTCCTGGCCAAGGCTGTGACAGCCCAACTGGAGAAGAATGAGTGAAGATTAAGGGGGAACAGTGTGACGACTGGGTGAGAATTTTCCAACTTCTGTTGAGGAATTTGTTCCTTTCCATCTATTTCTTTTGTTTGGCTAGGTGGTCTGTATTATACATTATGGCAATGACATTCCTTTTTTATTTTATATTGCCATATTTTTTGCACTATAATATGCACCTGACCAAAAGACACACCTAAGTTTAGAGGAGGGGGGGAACATATTCCACCATTGTTGCCTCCCTCCGTGTCATTGTTGCCTCCACACACTGTTACAAAGATAAATAGCTTTGCACATACTATTACCACCATCACTCATTAGCATCAGAGAGTAATTATTTCCAAAAAGCCCAATATTGATTAAACATACACAGAATTCTAAATACTGGAGGTAGAGATAGAGGGGAAATAGAGAATTTTAGAAAAGAAAATGGGTTGGATCCTAATTTGCAGGACCAGATATTTCAATAATTTATAAATATCCAATTTAGGTATTTTCTAAAGATCTTCTAGAGATCTCTCTGATGTAATTTCAACATCCATTTCTCAGAACCATGTTATAATGAAAAATACCATCCCAATTATGCAAATAAACAGAATAAAAAGAAAAGCATGAGAAACACATGAGTGATAAACTCTGCTACTGTACATTTCTGATCAGTATAAAATGTAGGGTATGCATGAAAGGTCATTAGCAATCCTGCAATCTATAAGATTTCATTACCTTCATGATCCACACACATTACAGTTCCATGAGTAGAAGAGCAAAAGGATCATAACCCTAGAGCATTAAATGTTTTTACATTCAAAATAATAGTAACTTCAAGTGGAGCAAATGTCAGGAATCATATTTATGTTTCATCACATATATTTAGTATCATTTTTTAAAATAGGATCTATAGCTTATCCAAACCTTAGTAGTGTCAAAGTAAATATATTTTACTTACCAATAGAATACATCTCTAATTGCTGCCGAAGACGGACTTTTTTCATGCTGTCATAAAAATTTGGTTCAGATGGTATTTCTACAGTTGGAGGCAATGTAAAAATCCTCATAATCTTCCTCTTATTTCTGAAGCCCAAAAGGAATAGAAAAACATAATACAAAAGCAGATATATTTTCCTTAATAGTAAATGAAATTAGCATCTAGTCTTAATTTCTACAGCAAAGAAATAGAAATGCAACTGGAATTTCAATTAGAAGTGGCAATGATTATCTCCAATTTCCTGTGAAAGCAAATATTACCATCACTGAAAGATTTAACTATAAAAATTAGGCTATGAATGTTTAAAAGTCACTTGATAGAAAGGCTTCCTGCTCACTGCATTCTAACACCCATTATTTCATGCAAAGGCCACTAACAGACGTTTATATCCTATGAAGAGACAAAGTGTTCACCTAAACGTGAAATGCATAGGTTCAGTATTTAGACGTGTACTCAGTACGGACATGAAAGTCAGTGTAAATTAGTTGTTATCAGCCTGTATAGATCCTTTGAATGAAGCGTCAGTCCTGCAAAGTTTTTCAGTTATAGCAAGGTCATGAAGGTGCTTATGTCTGCTTCTTTGGTTGACACTCAAATAGCTAGTACAGAGACTCCTCAAAAGGAACAATAATATGCAGGAAATGTTTCAGAAACGGAGTCTGTAAACTAAGAACTATGCAATTCAAATCTCATATGTTACAAATTGTCCAAGACTTTCATGCATGATTTATTCTTTCTTCTAATACCAAGTGAGGAATCAACATTAATTAGATTATATTACATTGCAGCAAGATAAGATGAAATATTTTGAAACTTTGGCTGAAATAAATAATTAACAGCTTATTGTTTCATCTTCTTGACATTCTGCTTGCAGATGTTACTGTTATTCATAAAGTTGTATACTGTTTCTTTCAAAGAGATTTATTTTAACACAATAGCAATGATTTTTTTTATTTCTATGAAGTTTATTTTTAATATTAGCTAAACCACACTTATCCTAGCCTAACTTATTGAAAAGGCAATAAGTTAAAAAATAAGGAAAGTACAAAACTCTTTAAGAGCATGAATTATTCAAGTTAGTTGAAAAAAGTCACACAATATTCATAGTAAACATTTATTTGAACATATCTATGGAAATTCTCAACCATCCAGGTCATTGTTGTCCCAAAGGTGTTTCAGCAGAACTGAAAAAGCTTCTTGGATGAGAAGCAACACATCTTCAAGCAAAAATGAAGAAAGTCCTTTTGAAAAAGCACCTTTGGGACATTTATTTGAACGACAAATTGGGCCAAGGAATGCCTTCATTTTCTTTATATTATTATTATTATTGAAATATTTATAACACTGAATCAGACTTAATTATGAGCAATAAAAATTTAGTCATCATCATAAAAAAGCACTGATAGGAAGGGGTTACTATATGGTGAGATGTGAAGTGCTGAGAAAAAAACAGGATTTTTCCCAAATTAGGCAGGCATATTATATAAACAGAACATATTTCTCTCCCACATTCTTTCTCTAAATCCCTAAATAAATAAATAAATAAAACCTATTTTATTCACAGTAGTTCCTGTTTTGTTGCCACTCCAAAGCCCTAAATCTCGAGATAACCAATTGCTGATTCAACAGCCAGTATTTGCAAGCCTAGCTATATAGCCAGAAAATTTGTAACGTTATTGCCAGAACCTTTGGCAATATCGCAACTTTTCATTAAGTCCAGGAATCGCCTAGGAAAAGTACCCAACATCGATAAAACGGAGATTAGAAAGCCGAATCTCCCAATCAGAATTCAGTAAGAAAATGGTTTCCCAGCCTCCGCGCCTACAGAAGTTTAATCATCTAACAGACTTAGACGCTTAGTATTCTTAATCAATATACAAATAGGAGTTACAGGAGTCACTTCTTTCCCCGTTGAGATTCCCACCTGCGCGCGTACACCAACAGGGCCAAGCTGGCCAACACCGCCAGCAAGTAAATGTTGGTGGCTTCGTTCCAAGCCTCGTGTACTGAATAGTCCATGGCGGCTACACCACCCCCACCACTTTCGCCCAGCGCCCGGGCACCGGCCATAGGGAATAAAGGAAATCGCAGACTGCCGACCCCCAAACAGGAAACTAGACGTGACCTCAGACCCTTCAGACGCTTCCAGATCGAAAACAAAGACTTGGAGGGAAGGATGGATCCCTACGCAGTTCTCAGCTTCCGGGTTGACTTAACGCCGTAGATTGTGATGAAAACGAAAGTCGAGCAGTTCGCCGGGAGCTTTGCGCAATTGCGACGTAGTATTACCATTGGTTTTTTTTTCTTATTCACTCGAATCACCCTCCAGGCATCCCAAAGAACTCTCTTTAAAAAAACAAGCAATGATTTTTCCCGTGTCAGCTCTTTCCTGCGAAAAAATGGAAGGGTTTGAGTGTTCGAAAGGGCAAAATGTCTTAATAGAATGCATAATTTCTGCACGCGGAAGCCAAATTTTATTTTATTTATTTTTATTTGTCAATTGCTTACAAGATAATAGGCATAAGTAAAAACATAGTTATAAATACATGGATACATATAGGAAAAATAAAAAATATAAAAAAGGAACCCAGTACCAAATTTGGGGATAAAATTTCATCCATCCCTCAAATTTTTCCTCTGCCTCATTCACCACTGTTCAATCCCTACCCCACCTGCCTCTATCCCTCATCCCTGCCTTTTTTATTGTCCTTCGCTCAGCCACCACTTAGCCCTGTAAGGCTTCCCAAATTCTTGCCAATCCTATAATTCTGTGATTCTGTATTTGAGAGTAGTGAAAGGTGGGTACGTGATGTGTGAAATGATAAGTCTGTGGCAACCTTGAATTTTTTGTTTAACTTCAAACTTCTTTTCAGGCCATCATAAACAAAAGTCAACAAGCAATAAAGTAGAATGAAATTTGGTTTTGATTCTTGTTTCTTTTTTGGCCCCAACTGACATGAAAATGTCATGTCCCAAAGGATTTTGCCCACTGTGGACATAATCAATTGATGTTATCTGACATTGTGATTACAGCAAGGCAACTTAAATTTGAACTGTCAACCTAATCCAAACCTAAGTTAATTTAGCAGGAGAAGAAAAGCAAATAGTTGAAAGAAGTAGATGTGAAATTCATTGATAAGCAACAAAATTCCCGAAGAGATATCATCATTACTCTTATATTTTTTGATCGTTAAAGTCCACAAAAAAAATACTTTTACTTCTTTCTTCTTTCAGTTTTCTAAAGTTCTCAGTTATTCCAGCCCAGGGTCTATATCAAAAGCATCAATCAATCCCAGTCAGTCTTTCCTTGTTTTTTTCTTTTTTCTGGTTCTGCTTTCACTTTCTAAGATTCTTACTTTGTTTCAATATTTCTTTAATGTTATATCCACACAAGTTCATTCAGAAAACAGGATACTTTCCCTTTTGTTTGAACTCAAGTTTTTGTCAAACGGTGGCACTCTCCTTTATACAAAGTCTTCACCTTTTTCCCCTATTTTTTTATTTAGGGTTTTTCGAACCTCAATATTCCAGCACAGTCTCCAATTTGTAAACTTTATTATTATTATTATTTTGACAATCTTAAGTCCAGCTTTATTTTATGCCTGTTTATTCCCAAAATATTTTAGTCCAATTTAGTTAAATCTTTAGTTCTGGCTTCTTCCTTTCCCTGTTCAAAGCCCCACTTACCTGTCAAAAATATTTTTTTTTCTCCTGTCCCTTTGTAATTTTGCTACTCACTTTTCTTTTCTTAAAAATTCCATGTTACCTTAATCCTGGGGTACTTTTGTTTAGTTGTATTGCCCAGTTGTCCCGGTTCAGATGTTATCCACCTCTTTCTTCCCTCCTGCACAAATCTTAATCCAGCTGAGTCCTCCTCTCTGGGGTGGCCATTTTAAACCACTGCTGCAGTCATCTTCAGGAGGAAAAAGGCCAAGGCCACGGGGGGAAATGCGGCTCCCCTCAACCTGGCTTGCAGCTTCCCCTTACTCCGCCACCCCTCCAAGGCAGTTTCAGCCCCTAATCATAATGATCAGGCGTCTCCAACGAAAGTGCACGGACCATAGCTGCAGAGAGTCGCGATCTACGGTCTGTGAGCGAGGAGGCTCCACCTTCTTCCCCGATGGTGGCCTAATCTTGATCAGGCAATCTCTGACTGGGTCTCTAGGTGCCAAGATTGCCAAAAAACCAGACCAGCTCCACTCCTAGCCCAGCCTCATGAGTGGGAAAGACCAAGGGGTCTGTGGTCTTGAATCTACATTGATTTCGCTGGTCCAGTGCAGGGACAAATGTTCTTAATAGTGGTGGATGTGTTCTCTAAGTGGGTAGAGGTATTGTTGATGCCATCTACCACCACAGAAGCTGTTATATGGGCCCTTAGAACGCTATTTGCCATCCATGGCCTACCTGATCTTCTGATTTCAGACAATGGACCTCAGTTGACAGCAGGGCCTTTTGAACTATTCCTGAGAGGGTTGAGAATATGGCATGTTTTAGTTGCCCTTTTTCACCCCTCCAGCAACGGGCTAACAGAATGAGCGGTTCACTCAGTTAAGGTAGCCTTAGCAAGGATGGACCCTGGGGATTGGTCTTCTAAAGTGGCTACCTACCTGTTAATGCATCATGCTACTCCATGTCCAGAGACAAACCTCAGCCCAGCTGAGATTCTGATGGGCAGGAGGTTGAGGACAAACTTAAGACAAGCTGCACCCTGGCTATGTACTGGAAAAGCCTCTAGAAGACTCTACCACAAGGGTATGGTCTTTTAACAAGGGGGACCTCTTTTATGCAAGGAATTACTCAAGTCACCCATTATGGCTAGTTGGGCCCATCCTTGACATAACAGGGTCGTGCTCATACAGAGTATTGCTGGAGCATAGATGCATAGAATTCTTTATTGGCCAACTGTGATTGGACACACAAGGAATTTGTCTTGGTGTAAATGCTCTCAGTGTACATAAAAGAAAAGATACATTTGTCAAGAGTCATGAATCATAAGGTTACAACACTTAATAATAGTCATATCAATCAAATCATACTAGAAAACAGTCAATATAAATTGTAAAGATACAAGAATAGAATAGAATAGAATAGAATAGAATAGAATAGAATAGAATAGAATACTTTTATTGGCCAAGTGTGATTGGACGCACAAGGAATTTGTCTTGGTGTAAATACTCTCAGTATACATAAAAGAAATGATACATTCATCAGGAGTCAAGAATCATAAGGTACAACACTTAATGATAGTCATAGGGTACAATAAATAATCAAATCATACTAGGAAACAGTCAATATAATTGTAAGTATACAAGCGACAAAGTTACAGTCATACAGTCACAAGTGGGAGTGGATGGGTGATAAGGAGTGATGACAAGATTTAATAGTGCCGATTTTGTAATAGTTGAACAGGATTGAGGGAATTATTTGTTTAGATGGCTTTTGGGGAAAAACTGTTCTTGTGTCTAGTTGTTCTGGTGTGCAATGCTCTATCATTTTGAAGGAAAGAGTTGAAACAGTTTATGTCTTGGATGTGAGCGGTCTTAAATATTTTCACAGCCCTCTTTTTGACTCGTGCAGTATACAGCTCCTTGATGGAAGGCAGGTTAGTAGTAATTATTTTTTCTGCAGTCCTAATTATCCTCTGAAGTCTGTGTCGGTCCTGTTGGGTTGCAGAACCAAACCAGACAGTTATAGAGGTGCAGATGACAGATAAATAATTCCTCTGTAGAACTATATCAGCAGCTCCTTGGGCAGTTTGAGCTTTCTGAGTTGGTGCAGAAAGAACATTCTTCATTGTGCTTTTTTCATGATGTTTTTGATGTTAGGTATCCATTTTAGGTCTTGGGATATGATAGAACCTAGAAATTTGAAGGTCTCTATTGTTGATACTGTATTGTCTAGTACTGTAAGAGGTGGTAGTATGGGAGGGTTTCTTCTAAAGTCTACCACCATTTCTACAGTTTTGAGTGTGTTCAGTTCCATATTCTTCCATTTACATCATGAGGCAAGTTGAATAACCTCCCGTCTGTATGCAGAATCATCGTTGTCTTGAATGAGACCAGTCAATGTTGCATCATCTACAAACTTCAGTATTTTAACATATGGATTCTTTGAGATGCAGTCATTGGTATATAGGGATAAGAGAAGTGGAGAAAACACATAGGCTTGGGGTGGGGGCTGCGCTAATTATACAGGTATCCAATGTGATTCTGCCTAGCTTCACCTGCTGCTTCCTGTCTGTTAGGAAGTTCCATTTACAAGTGTGTTCAGGTACCACTAGCTAGTTTAGTTTAGTTAGAAGAATGTCTGGAATGATGGTATTGAATGCTAAACTGAAGTCTACAAAGAGGACCCTTGCATAGATAAGGATGGGTGGATGTGGCATTGCCACATAGACCAGTTAAAGGGGCAGTGGAACACCATGCCTCATGAACAGTCTTTTGGGGCTGGGACAGATGATACCCTCAAAAGTTTACCAGCCGAAGCAGAACGTCCCAGAGATGAAACAGCAAGGTAACCAATGGATTTACTAATAGAAGCAGGTATCGTTTCGGCTTTGCCAACTCCGGCTGATGTATCATTGCAGTTCCCAATCATTCCAGAAACTATCCCTATCTGTCCACTGCTGTTAACCATTAACACCAAGCCTCCAACTGCCAGCATCAAGCCACGTAGGTCTGGGAGGACCCGACACTGTCTGCCCTACCTTCGAGACCATGCATGTGCTAATTAGGGGGGGAGGAGTGTTGTGTCCTGTTCTCACTCTGGTCCGTTTCCCCAGCGGGAACAGAGAAGCATTCTGATTCGTTAAAGGCTCTGACAGCTGAGTATAAAAGGGCTGTTAGAGTGGTTGATTAGCTGCTGTTGTTGTGAGCCAAGCAGCCATGGTTAGCAAGCTCTGTTAGCACAACATTTATTTCTGAGTTGAGCCTCAGCCTGTTTGCCACTGTTCTTGGTACTGAACACTGGTAATATTCAGTTTGCTCCTTCTCTTTAATTGCAAGTGTTAATCTACTCATTTCTACACATTCTAATATTTTTCTGATCACATTTGCATCAATAGGAATCTTTTCACTTTTCCAATTTTGTGCAAATACAATTCTAGCTGCAGTTAATACATGAATAATCAAATATACATTTTCTTTATTATAAATTTCAGGTAAGATCCCCAACAGGAATATTTCAGGTTTAAATCAATATGCTATTGTATCATCTTTTCCAACCCCATGTATATTTTTGTCCAGTGTTTTTTGGCTTCTACACATGTCCACCACATATGAGAATATGACCTAGCTATTTGGTGACATTTCCAACATCTAGCTGATTTATCTTTAAACATCCTTTCCAACCTCATCAGTGCTAAGTGTTTATAAAACATCTTATACAAGTTTTCTTTGTATG